CGCAACTTCATAAGGTCATATGAGCGCCATAAGATTAGAGGCGTTACAAGAGAGTAACAAACATAAAAAAGAAGAGGGGGAAATAAGGGCGATAGAGGTTTGATAGGAAAGAAGAAGCAAACCACACCAGAGTACCAGCCAACCACCCACAAGGAGAAGCTCTGTATTTCCGCTAGGACGCTGTTTCCCTTTCAGTCTGGGCTTGCCCTGACAGCCAGGGTCGTAAGCCCCCTTCCTAACTTGTCTAAATTGTGTCGATGGGAGCGAAAAAACACTTACATTAACCTTTTCACTGCTATCAATGACAAAGGTAATAGCCTTTAGAAAGTCTTTAACTTAGACTAAATTACTCTGGTGATGGTTGAGGATGGTGGGGAAGGGGGTGGGGGGTACATTGCACGTTGCGTATGCTCCTTTTCAAAATAAGATTTCTTATGGTGAAACAGTTAAATAAAGAACAAAAAAGAAACACGCCCCCCCCCTAAAAAAAAAGAAGCAAAAAACAAAACAAAAACAAAACAAACGAATCAAACACAACATGGAAGCTTACCCGTCCTGACACAGTCCAGCAGTCTATCATGAGGCACCAGTGTCGAGGCCGTGTCGTGACCTCTGGGGTTGACCTCCTCATCTCCGTCTCGCTCTTCCCCCTCCGGCTCTTCAGTCTTCTCCTCCTCATCTCCTCCTTCTCCTTGACTCTCTCCTTCCGTCTCCGCCTCCGCCTCCGGGGCATGCTCGGCCAGCATGGTCTCCCACGTGCCCGTGATGCTCTTCAAACATGGCGTCAGCTCCTCGTAGTCCAACTTCCTTGAGAGAGAGCCACCGCCCTCTTCCTGGCGCGCTGTGGAGACACAGGGACCCCGCCACTGGCGTTATGCCCAGGCTGCTGCTGCTGGTGTTTATTTATTGTAGTTTGAGTAAAGAGTTTGTTTTTTGGTTGTTGGTTGGTTGTTGTTGTTTTTTGTTTTTTTACGGCACTTGCAACATAATTTGTCGCTTTTAAGGGCAAGCGGGCTAACCCAGATTTCAAGGGTTTCCAGAAATCTTGACCTATACCAAAAGTGGGTATTGCCTGACCTATAGGAGAAGTTTGGTTTCAATGGTGTGTGTATATTTGCTTGGTTATAGAGAAAACTCTCCTTGTCTTTTAAAGAAACAGAATAAGGATCCAAAAACTTTACATTCGATTTTCTCAAGACAGAATTTTTAGGGATACCCCCTTGTGCTTAAAAGCGACCAATTAAGACACATAAGTGCCGAAGACTAAAAGTGTTACAAGGGAGTAACAACCCC